TATCCCTGGTATGGTTGCGCTTGATGTGTATGTTGACAAGGTGCCTACCTGTCTATTACCCACTACATCGTTCATACTGGCTCCAGGAGACAGTTGGTCGTTGCTGGAGGGGATACGGTGCACGGTCCTTGTGGCCGTGCTAGGCTCGAAGAGCGGTTCCATGCACTCAGTGTGGAGCGGACTACGGTCCAGCCACCGCCTTGTGTGCGGTTGATTCCCCAACTACAGCGTGCTTGTGTTTGCCTGTGAAGGAGTGTGGGCCGGCTCCGTTGATGAAACGTGGTTCCCATCCGCATGCCTCCCGGTCTTATTCCTTCGGGTTTACACTGGATATGGGGTATGTGGTTGGAGCTGTGGGTGGTGCAGCGCAAGCCATCCATGGTCCCTCTGTAGGCGCAGGCGTCCTGTGGCTTGCCACAGTGACAGGCAAATCCGAAACCGGATGCCGCCAACCATATGGGTTTGACAATGCCCACTTTCCAAGCCGACGGGAGATGTCCAGCTTGAAAGGAACGACGAAAAACGACCACTAAAAAGACGTAGAAGTCTAAAACAGCACTGAAAACTACTTCATCCCAGCTACAATTGGTTTTAGACAGAACGACGCAGCTGGAAGATCTGATCAAGGCTAACCCCAGCACACCGAAACCACCTATACCTAATGGAAACAAGCGTCCCTTCCGTAAGCAGTGTCTAATCATCGTAAATGCTCCAGAGTCTAATAGAGAGACACCAGCAGAAAAAATACAGGATGATCAAGAATTCTTAAAGCACATGGTCTCACTTCTGTTCGATAGTGGGGAAAAAGGGATTAACTTTGTCTCAGCATTTCGCCTTGAAACAAAGCAAGAAGACACCATCAAGTCCCCTCCTCTCCAAGTTGTCTGTCAGGATGAAGAAGATTGTCGCCGTATCCATGGACGGACCACACGTCTCAAGGAAGAGAAGTTCTATGTTCTTAGAGATCTCTCCTCAGAAGATCGAACCAAAATGAGGAACGCAGTTAACGAACTACGAACTCGTAGAGCAAGTGGTGAGACCAACTTGACCATAGTAGATTTTCAGGTAGTGCGGAAAGTACAGAGGTTCCGCTGGAAGCCACTGTTCGTCCTCCCCGGGACTTAAAAACAAGGGCGAAGAATGGACTACAAATGAGGGTTGCAAACGTTCGCAGTCTCCGGAACACATTGGACGAGGTACACGTCCTTACTTCAAAGCTGCTTCCTGACCCGTTGGCCTTTATTGAGTCCTGGCTCACTTCAGATATCTCCTGCTTGCCAACATGTGTTAGCACATTCGGTATTCCGCAAACACTGGTGACAAACAGCAGCTCTGTATTCACTAGCCAACAGCTCCAAGAGTTCCTTGAAAATAACGACGTCAGACATGTGAAGAGCGCCCCTTACCACCCAGCCACAAATGGACCAGTGGAACAGTTAGTCCACACAGTAAAAAGCGAGTTTCAGAAACAATCACCAGCTCCACTCTAAACAAAGTTGGATACATTTCTATTCGCTTACCGCTCCACCCCAAGTGAAACGAGAGGCAAGAGTCTAGGCAAACCAGTGTTCGGCCGAAGGATTAGGACGCGACAAGACTTATACTTTTCAAACCAGAGATAACGCGTCGAGATGCGACAAGAGCAATCAAAAGAGAGGTACCATTAAAAAACATCAGATCGAGCACTGCGTGAGGACGATGAAGTTAACATCAAACTGTTCCACGAACCGACTTGGCAACCCGCAGAGTTACGTTAAATATCGTTTGGTTGGATACACTGGTTGACATGTCGAGGAGCCGACCTAAGTGGCGTTTGTGTTGTGAGTTTCTTTGCCCCCACCCATCCCGCTTATCTTCCTCCTCCAAGCACGATTTCTCTCGACGCATAAGTAGCCTGTCGCATTCAATAATGCTCATTATGTTGCATTTTTGTGTCTTATCTTTATGTATTGCGGCACAATATTTGAAGTGTGTTCCTCACTTATAGCTAATGTGTAATGATGATGACAAGTGTGGAGGCTTGTACTGTACCGGAAACCACGCGCTTACAATATTTTGCCGCATTGAAATTTATGGTTGTTTTAAGCTTCAAAACGTCCACTTGTTTTACTGGCGGCACATCCGTTGACACAAAGCGTTTTGGTGAGTACCTTGCTGTACCGTTTCTTGCTCTGGTTGATTCGCTTCCAACTTTGGTGGCCTGTACAATATACGTTGGGTTCAGTCGCCTCCAACTTCTATACTGTACCGTATTTGACACAGCTCTTACGTGTCACTGATTACCGAGTAGTATCCCAGGCTCCACCCAACAATTGGTGACCCCGGTCCAGAACACGCCGTCCGCCATTTTGAATTTTCATTTTGGTGAGCTCGTTCCAGTGACTTTGATTCATTACTCGCTATCGTTTTGTTTTCTCACCTGCCGCATATACTTATTCATTTCCCACAATGAATAGTCGTGATGATAGACCATCTACGTACATGGTTAGGGTGGTAGAGCTAGCCTCACCACCTTTTTGGGAGATTGACCCGTTGTTATGTTTTTCGCATTTAAAATCCACTTTTTACAATTTTAAAATTTCTGCTGATGCTAAATATTATCAACTAAGGTTTTGGCTTTCGCAATGTCTCCTCCCAGGTGAGAGACATCATAACTTGTGTGAAATATGAGACTTCAAAGCAGGCGATCGTCCAGCGAATCACGCCCTCTGATAAGGTCCGACTGCAGCAACTGTTTAGGGATCTGCAGCTAGGGGACAGGATGCCTTCAGCCTTGTTGCGACAGATGCAACAGCTTCTAGGCACATCCAGCATGGACGCGGGGATTCTGCGCGAAATGTGGATGCAACGCCACCCGGAAAACACACAGCCCATCTATCCCGTGGCAAACGTCCTGCCTGTCGCGTTTGAAACTTACATGCATCACTATGTATGTGGCGCATCTTACGGATGTAATCAGCCTTATCCATTAGAACTACAACGGAACCTTTGTCTGGCTTAGAGATAATTAATTCTCTGTCAAGCCATAACTATTTAAGTGACTGCTGCTGTTCCCTAGTGATAATACCGCTGTTGATAGGTTTAGCACTACCGTGTTCGTGACAACTATAAACCAGATTAGACATCAACTTCTCAACATTGCTAGAGAAAGTTGGAACAAAGTCCATCGTTTGGGCCATTAGGCTCTTAAACTACACTTCTAAAGCCCTGTCTGATCAGGTGTTCCACATGGAATACAAAAGTTGGGGCCTAACGATAACACTTTTAGCTATCGGGTTGAGTGTATCACAAGAGAGGTTAACCACACACCCTTCAGGATTCACCAGGAAGGTTAACGGTGGAGCCTGATTGCACAACGAGCTAAGTAACTTCTTTTGTTTCCTTGTACCCATTATGAACTTGACCATCTCCATATAATCTTCAAAAGGCTTTCTTAATTCATCAGCAAGATCTGTCACTGCAGGCATCAGTTGCAAGACAAATCTCTCCAGTTCCGACAGCTTCATGCGAACGGTATCGACATATTTAAGTGTATGTCTCAATAAAGTTTTGCATTTGGATGGAGGCCACATCGCCGTATTTCTTTCAAAAAGTGTTTGGGATAGCGACATGACTGTAAACATTCGGTGAGGAGTTTCAATTCAACACTAACCTATTCAAACGAGCACTGAAGTTCATATACCCATTCAGAGAAATCCGAGTGAAACACAGAGAATGTCGAGCTTTAGAAGGCCAAATATTCCCATTTTATTGTTCATAATTAAAACCAGAAATCGAATTGTGGGTGAAGAATACTGTTCGAGTAAAATTTCATCTGACTCATACGTTTACATGGTGGAATAGGAGTGGAATTACTGTAATTGGCCACATATTGATCACACGCAGTTTGAACGATAGATTCAGTAGACTTAAGTCACAGCTACGAAGAATATACCCAGTCAACAAATGGAATTGTAGGTAATAATCACTCGGAAAGAAAGAAGATAGATTACCATAATAATAATAATAATCAAATAGTTAACTAACAGTGCTTGTTGGTCATGGTAACAAAATGTGCTGCACGTATTACTTTGGAACACACAACTCAGATTTAAAGTGGCGAAGGGATACGGTCTCTGCAATAGATAGCAATTGTTTGCGGAAGCATCTTGAGTAGCATTCAGGCAATGAATAGACCAGTTTGAAGCCGTTCTCGGATGCTGCATCACCGTATCCAATGAGGTGTGACAAAAGCCAGCTGTTAGAAGACTTTATTTCACCTCAGTAAAAGCACATTGGTATATGCTCGCGGATCCTCTGTGATAAACGTCTCGAAATGGTTGCTGGAGCTCAGCATACCCCGAGATTCCCTTAGACTAGAAATGGTGAATGCTAAGGTTGGAGGACTAAAATTATACCCAGCGGGAAACTTGTTGACCGGAATTAAGTGGACAATATGGTGATAATAAAAATAATCATGTGTCAGATGTGTGCCATGACGGCGCTTCGCTGTCGTGCCACCAACAGCAGTCGCGCGCGAGCTGAGTATACCGCGATTGGAGATCGTCGCAACAGCTTCCAAATCAGATAGTCGTTCACTTACCTGGAAAAAGACTAGAATGCAGTTTTGACCTGTTGGTCCTTGTCAGTAATGCACATCTATCGGATCCTGCAGCATTAGAACCCATGAACACCAGCCGTTTGCATCGAAAGTCAGCAGCTTATGCCATTATGAGGGACAGCGGAGGACCGTCATGATTTAGAAACTAACTGCGATATAGCAGGTCTGATCCTCCACTGCCCTACAAGTTACGAGGGTTGCATAGGGGAATCTCGGTGTAATTAATTATGAGTTCGTCTCGTCAGTACAACAGATACTCGCGCTAACAGTTTCTAAAGGTTATATCGTACGCAGTTGTTGCTAGTAATCATCGCGGATTTCGGGGCCAACCCTGTTCTCTGCAACGCCCATAACTTGCATGCCACTGGAGGATAAGACGCGCTATATCGCAGTTAGCAATCGGAAATGCATTGGCATAAAAAGTGTCCAACAAGATTTAGCGTAAGTATGGTTGTCAACAATTACGCAAAAGAACTGGGAACGGGGCTTGTGTCTTCTGATCACAACAACAGGTAAAGAAAAATGACAGAAGGGTAATCATCATTAACAAGTGATATTAGACTAACAATCCAACAATAAATCGGATATACGGCATGTGAAAGGAGTGTGGTCGTGGTAAACTCGCTTTGTAATTCTTTTTATGCATGCAGAGGCAAGAATGGACAGCAAATCGAGGTAGGGAAATCGTGATTCTTAATGAAAGACAGTGCTCGATAGGGTTCGTGCAAGCGAGATCGGAAAAAAACAGGAAAGGAAGAAGATAAGTGACACTATACAGCTGGAAGTGATACGCGATGGTACAGTCACGTGATTTCAACTCAGTAACAAAATACCTCGGAACGTTGAACCGTAGAGTCGCTCGATGTAGTCTGAAAAATGAATAAAAGGCGTTTAACACGAAGACAATGCGGAAAATTATAGTATAGAACCACGTGATTGTCTGAGAGCCCCGGATAGAATCACAACCTGAAATACATAGCCGAGTTACATCACACATATACCATCAATTAGGTACAAATGGGACTGCAAGCTAAGTTCCGATCCATCGATCCGAAGGCGGCTATCGGGAATACTGATGGAGAGGATGTTTGATGGATGGTTAGAGGAAATTTAAAAATCATGTTGAAAATGCACCAGTCGGACAATGCTTGGTAGTCGCATTCTGAAGTTTTATCTACGAAGAGCTGAACCGAATTCTCCTTACCTTTTCCCAAAACAGCGTTACTTCATCTGGTTCCCCGGTATTATCAGCCCTAAGTATCCATCTATAAGGAGGTAACAGTGACATTTGGCCAATTCAATGTGATGGGAGCGTCTTGTCGTGGTGCACAGATGGATCTACCGCATCAGCCAAATAGAAACGAGCTTGACGGATCCGATCAGTTGAAAGTGATTAGAGGATGTTATTCAGAGTTCATCGTCGCTTGTTTAACGGAGTAAAAGAAGAAATCTCATTAGCTCTAAAACATTGGTGATTACTTAGTGCGCAAATAACGCATCGAACGGCATTCGGCCTATAGGCGACTGTACTTACCGATGGTTTGCCATAACTGAATCAATGCGTGTCCACGAAGGATTGACTTTTGCCACACTACTCATAATAGTTTGCCATCTTGTTGGATAATTTCAACTAAAATCGTCGAAGCCCATATGGATAAGAATGAATGTGTTACTTTTTGCTTTTCCTTGTGTTTATTTCCGAAGCCCATATCCGTTACTTTTCTATAAAATCTTCGTTGGCAATGCGAACAAAACGGTACAGACTTGTGCGCAACACTGCACGCTTCGGTAGATAGTTTGCACCTTCAAAGTGCAAAGAACTGTTACAGGACAGAACCGATACTCCCACGGTTTTAAGCTATTACCGGACAGCTAGTGGAAGTGGTGGATGGGTTCATTTGCCTGGATAGCTGTGTCAACTCTGGTGATCACATTACTAAGAAGGTTACTTCGCATATCAGTAAAGCCCGTGTCGCTTTTCAGAGGCTCAACTATATATTGGAGAGGGCGGGATATCAGCCTGTCAGTGAAAGCTAGTGTATATAACGCTGCGATAAGGCCGGTCTAACTGTATGGACCAGAGACCTGACCGTTTCGCAGTGAAGATATTAAACGCTTAGATGTGTTTGGTCACCGCGGCTTGGGGTGTATTGCACAAGTCTGGTGAACACACCGGCTGAACAACGCTGAGGTTCGCCAGTGGATTTTATTAAGAAGTTTTGTGATGCCTCATTAGAGCGTTAGCTTAATCTTGCTCGTTTACGTTGCCTAGGCCCGATGATCGGCTTCCTTGGCGTGCATTGCACACCTTGGATGCAATTAGCTGGGCGAAACCGCGAGGTGGCCAGTCCATGATGTGGCATAGAAGTTTGAAGAAATTGAACGAGAACAAGGAAACGCGATAAACCACTAAGTCTGTGAGAAGTTCGGGCTGGACAAACAGATTACCTGGGAGGAGAATAGATCGATCAAGCAGGATTGACAGGCGAACGCAGACCTAGGAGAAAGTGGCAAGGGGCCAAAGCACAACCGATGTACCAACAACGCGCAAAACAGTACCGATGTAACGCAATCTCTCTCTCTATTTATGTAATATATATATATATATAAATACAAATAAATATACAAGTATATAAATATAGATAAGCTCCAAGGTATCAAAAATCACGGAATGGTTTCCAACACTTCGTTGGGAACATGGAATTAAGGCAAGCTCACGGAACCCATTCGGGGTGAAGACTGAAAGAGTCGGACAGTTTTGGTTGTGTTGATGGTGAGCCCGAATTTAGTCGCTGTCGAAGCCAGAGCACTAGTCATGTGCTGCAACTGGTCCTCACTGTGTGCAAACAACGCACAGTTGTCAGCAACATACAAACAGATCTCACAGACTAGAGTTCTAGCACCGAAATGACGGATGTTCAGCAACCCACCATCAATACGGTGCTCAACACGAACACCGAAGCAAAAATGGCAGCAAGTGCACAAGACATCATTGCATGAAGATAAATAGTAAACAGGGCAGGAGATAAGACACGGCTTTGCTTCACACCAGAGACAACTACAAAGTCATCCGAGGTCTGTCCACTCAGCTGCACCCTCGCCCGCATACCACTGTGCAGACATTCAATTAAACTTACAAACTTATTCGGACAACAAAAGCTGCCCAATATCAGCCACCATGCCTCGCGGTTCACCGTGTCAAATGCCTTGGTGAAGTCAATAAACAGCGAGTACAATGGCTGGTGTCGCTCTCTGCATTTCTCTTGCAACTGACGAGCCGCAAACACCATATCAATGGTGCTGCGACCCGAACGGAATCCACACTGCTCTTTCGCCACGTTAGGTTCCACAACCTGACTGACGAGGCGGTTGAGCAGGATTCGGGCAATCATCTTGCCCACACAACTCAGCAAGTTGATGCCACGATAATTCGTGCAACATTGCTTGCTACCTTTGCCCTTGTACAGTGGTACCACAAGGGCATCCTTCAGCTCAGGAGGCACCTCCTCCTCAATCCATACACGTTGCACCAAGTGGTGCAGCGCAGTCAACAACGCGGGTCCACCGTGTTTCAATACTTCAGGCAGGATCCCGTCGCACTGGCGCATTTGCCGTTTCGCAGCTGAGCAAATGCTCTCTGCGTCTCATCCAGCGTCAGCGTGTCTGCCAGACTCGTCTTCACATCGTGCTGCTTGAGGCATTTCAAAGTGAACCATTCCATCTCTGAACGGTTGTTCAAGAGACAGTCAAAGTGTTTTGCCAGATCTGCATTATGTTTGCAGTCTGGATACAGGTAGCGCCTGAACTACCATCGATTAACCTCCTCAGCGGCTCCAACCTCAGTCCGTACACCGCCTTCAGCGAGTCAAAGAACTCCTTTTGTTGGCGGCGTTGGGCCTAGTATTCCATGTGCTTCGCCATCTTTGTCCTCCATGCATTTTTAATGGGAAGAAGCTTCCGGGTCAGTCGCCGTCGAAGTTTGCGAAACTCGCTATTCTTCCCCAAGTCACTGGGGTGTGTAACATGTGCAGCAAATGTTGCATTTTTCTCCGACACCAAGGTGCCCATCGTCGCACTGTTCTCATCAAGCCAATCAGGCCGCTTGCAGTTTTGCGCGTCCGGCTGCAGCTATCACCTAGTCGCGAATGTGGTGCCACAGGTCGCCCACTGTGGCTACGCAGTCCACATCACACACCATATTTTATTATATTCTCCAGCTCAGTACGTTGCACCACAGTACCGAGGGAGAGAATTTTAAATTTACACCTCCGATTCACGGCGGGAATACAATACATAGATTTACGGAAATATATGTAGTTTGGTCCGCACCAATATGTAATCAATGCCGCACTCTGCTCTACGCAGTACACATGTTTTGCGCACTTCACGCATATCACACTGACGTACGATGACATAGTCGAACAGGTGAGCATAACCACTTCGTGGGTGCGTCCAGGTTGTCATATTACTCGCACTCAGTGCAAACCGAGTGTTAGTGATCGTCAGGCCGTGAGTGGCACACAGTGAGAGCAGCCTGTCACCGTTCGCATTCGCTGAACCAATGCCATGCGAACCGATAACATCTGTCCACAACGATGCATCACACCCAACGCACGCGTTGAAATCACTCAGCAGAAATAGTCAGTGACTCCTCCGCACAGACCGTGTCACGGAGGAGAGCTGAGTGTAGAATGGATCACGCGTCTCATCAGGATAACACATGCTCAGACCGTACGTCCTTACAAAAGTGGCAAAGTAACCTCCTCCGAGTCGTAGGCGAACAGTAATCAGTCGCGCGCTGATGTCTGTTAGTTCACCCACAAGCTGGCCATGGAGGCGATCGGATATTGCAAATCCGACCCCATGTTCACGTGGTGGTGAGGCGGCGTTGCCCACCCAGTAGAATATGTAGCCAGCACCTGCTTCATGCAACTTACCTTGCTCAGCGAGCCGGGTTTCACTGAGCGCCGCCATATCGATGTGCTAGCGCAACAGTTCCAACGCGACCAGTGCAGTGCGTCGCTCGGGGCGCTCACTGGGGTTCTGGTCCAGTAGTGTGCGCACGTTCCAGCAACGGATGCTGAGTGCTTTGCGCTCAGGCATACGATTGCATTGGTGGGCAATCGCACGCAACATGGCGGTTGTGCATAGGAGGTTTGCCTGATGGACTCCACCAGCAGGCTTTGGCTTAATAGCTTGACCAACAAGGCAGTGGGGAGCAGATACAGCTCATAAAAATAATTGCTGACACAGATTGGGATCGGCTTGAGGTCCGTCATACGCAGCATTGAAGATCTGGAGCAATTCATATATGTTTTGCGACCGTATTAGGATACGTACCTGCGACCACGGCCAGACACAGGTGGGTTTTGGCAGGTTTGCACAAATTTGACCAGGGGCTACTTGGATTGAGGCGGGTAGTAGCCAATCATTAAACACCCGGAGGTGCTCTCCTACCGTCCGAGACCATGTGTGGCGCTCGTGCTCTACATCAATCGAGTTATGAGCTTATAACTCGCAGATCTGTTGTCTCCCATGGTTAGATTTTACGGTAAGAGGGTCATCGATCACTTCCGAACCTCCGAAAAGAATGGAGTAGGATACTGGCAGGGCGCCTACACCTGACAGGAGAACGACTCAGATCCTCAGCCAAAGCCTTCGATTAAATATACACGCGAAAGGCAGCGGGACTAGCACAGCTCATCGATCATGCAGGGAAAAAGGCGTAAGCCAACTTCCACATAGCGGTCGCCACGATGAGACGTCCAGGACATCAGCCCATGACACAACAGTAGCAGTAGTGGGTAGATCATAAGTCTGGATCTAGCCTCCAACATCCTCTGCGCACCACAAACGCTCCCGAATTGGT